TATATTATATTTAACGGATTTACATGATATTATAATTATTAAACTATAGCCTAATCTAAAATGTATCAATGCTATATTATTTTACCCATATGCATATGCTTTAAGGCAATGAGTTGAATTGGAATATTTTCGAGCACGCCTACTTGTCTGATCATTAAAATGAACGCAACGCATCATAGCCAGCTTGATTTAAAATAGAAACAAAATTTATTTCGCATTGACTCTGAAACATGCCTAAAATTATCAATTTTGCATATAAATTTATTCCTATTAGCGACGAGTCCTCGCATCACTCCCAAATTCCTGCCAATGTGCACAGAGTTTGTTTACAACTGTGTAAACAAATTAATTATGCAACACTATGGCGATTGCCCCGGAGCTATCGAGCTCTCTGCTCTTCGCCCCTTTCCGTTTTCCCCTTTCCAGACTTGTTCTGCATTCGCATTTTCGCTCAATAAAATTGTTTTTAGCATTTTCGCAAAATGGTCGCTTGAAGCGCTCAGGCCGAAGAAAATTTATGCGTGGCAAACCAAAACACATCCTCGAGGCTCATTTGCATGGCCCCCAGCCACACAGAGATACATGCTATCTCTCTCTCTCCCACACACAAACACGAGTGCAGCCTGCACTTGTGTAAATAATTAACATAATTTTGGCACAACATTCATTCAGGCATAATTTGCAGCTAATTTTTCGTGGCGCTGTTAATGTTGCTTGCTGCAAAATGATAAACATTATTATAAACATATATTATGTGCCCTGTGGAGAAGTGGGTATGTGGGGTATAAAGAGTTGGTGCATGGGTATGTAATAGATAGAAGAGCTCGTATATAAGGATCTAGGCTGTCTGTGTGCATGTTTGTCTAACTACAAGAGGAAATCTTATAGCAATATCATTGAATTTGCTATCTATAGCAAAGAGAATATCAGTTCAATCTTCCCACTCACTACAGGGTATAATACAGTCGAGCAGTAGCTAACTCTCGCCTTATATATAAGTTCATTAGTTTATTATTTTTCGGTTTATGACGTATTATGCTATGACTAGCTGCCTGTCAGCTATCCAAACTTGTCTAATAAACATTTCTTTTCAGCTCTCACTGCATATATGTGTGTGTGTATATATGTGTGTGTCGTGTTTATAGCGCTTGTGACAATTACGAGTATATATAATGTATATAAATATAAATTATGCTCACATATTCACACTCATATATATATTTTTATATATTTACCTATGTAAGTTGGGGTGTGTGCGGTGGCTCATAAAAAGTTCGAGGCGTGTGAATTGTTTTGCATTATGCGAAATGTTATATAAAATGCTTTTAGCGTTTTTAATTGTTACGTCTCAGCAATGTTTGTTATTGTTGCTGTCACTGTTGTTGCTGTTGTTGTTAGTGCTTTCCATGTGACATGAACGTGTTTGGCCTGCCCAATTGCGTTAAGGGTTTTAACATTCACAATTTCGGCAGCAGTTCGTGTAGGTCGTTTGGGTCTATTAGAATTTGGATTAATAATATTTAAGTCTATTATTTTGCTGTTGATTTCCAAATCAGCTTAACCAACTTAATATGAAAGCATAATTTGAAAAGCAGCAGCAATAGAAATTTAAAGAGCCTTTATATAAAGTGAAACCTATTCATATGATAATATATTATAAAGCCCTTTCCACTAGGCAACTGCTTGATTTCAGTTGATTCCATCTGTGCCAAAAGCTAAACAAAAACTATTTCAATAGGCAAAAACACAGATTTTTGTGCAGCATCATCAAAACTAAAGTCTGAACAAAGCAGACCTAAAATATTGATTAGAATTTGCAAAATGGAGCAGACGTAACGCCAATGCCCAAAGTAAATAGGCCTAAATATTAAATATATACATCAAATGTGTAGGCAACAATATCCATGGAAAAAACAGTAGCAACAACAGCAGCAACAACAACAATTGGCAAATAAACAGCCTATTGGGATATATATGTCAAGCCTATGATTCGAGGCAGCAGCAGCAACAGAAACTGGCTCGAAAAATGTGTTTAATGTTTTTGCTTATATTGCAACAAATGTAAACAGGAACAGAGTGCGCCACCAGCAGCAACAACAACAACAACAAAAACAGCAACAACAGCTTGACACATTTACCAACATTTTGTTGTTGGTTTTTTGGCCAGCGCGCTTTGAATGACAAATCTTGTACAGCATTGTTGTTGTTGTTGTTGTTGTTGTTGTTGTAGTTTGTTGTGGCAAGCCTCGTTCGTGATGTTGTTGTCATTGTTGCTGTTGCATGAAAAAATAAAAACCAAAATACATAAACAACGCCACCGGCTCAGCTGTTGTTGCTTGTCTCGTATGTTTTTTTTCTCTCTCTCTTATTTTAGTTGCCTCCAGTTTTATTTACTTTTTTCCCGTTGAAACCAAAACAAAAAGTTGCTGCACAAATTTAGCCAAGATATAAATATAGAAATTTGAAATACACTTTCATAGCATGGATCAAAT